GTTGCTGAAAAATCTTAAACCCAGCGGTTGAAAGCAAAAAAGTTGCTGAAAAATCTTAAAACCAGCGGTTAAAAGAAAAAAGGTGCTGAAAATTCTTGGAACCGGTTTTTAAAAGAAAACGTTTTTCATTAAAAACTGTTTTCTAGCGTGTTAAAGCATCCCAGAGGTTTAAAGAAAAAAGTTTCTGAAAAATCCTGAACCTAGCGGTTGAAAGCAAAAAAGTTGCCGAAAAATTTTAAAACCAGTGGTGGAAAGAGAACGTCTTTCATGAAAAATTATTTTCCATGGTGGATAAAAGGAACCCTGTGCAAGTAGTTAAAAGGAAAAAAGTTGCTGAAAAATCTTGAGCCCAGCGGTTGAAAGCAAAAAAGTGTGTTTAACTACTAAAAAAGTTTTAAAAAGTGAATAAAAATATGAATGAAAAAAGCAGGAATTTATTGATTGAACAAATTTTAAATTTGAGAAAAAAAGGCGCATTTCTTATTCTGAACTGCGTAGAGTCTAGGCTAGATCTCAACCGCTGGTTCAACCGCTCCCGCTGAGTTTTTTTCTCCAAAGTATATATCATTCACTTTTAATTTCAATTTTTATTTCAAACAGCATGCATAATTTCTCAGATACATACAAATTTGAAAACAGCGCCAAGCTGTCAACAAACAGCTTCTCTTGCAAATTTGTGATTTATAAAATCTTAACTGGATATATTTAGAGGACTATATTGAAGATATGAATGATGTTGATGTAATGAAGAATAGTGGAAACATTCATAATTCAGGTGGATTATTCACATCAAAGATTGATAGATATAAAAATTGAAGTAGAAAGTCATCATTGTATTGATATATTTGACGACAAAAATATCTTTTCAGACGAAAGTGTACCTGAGGATAACAGTAATCCTAAACCAAAGGAAGAACTGGGGAAATTGGAACTAGAAGACTCCACTGAAAAACTGAAAGCTGAAAAAAAAATCACAGAGCTCACGGAAAACAATATTAAGCTACAGAGAGAAAAGGATGAATTAGCAGCAACTATTGATTCCTTCAAGTTCACTTTGATGGAATATTACTCAAATATGCCAATTCTTTTACCCGAGGAGGGTATAGTTCCAGGAACAGATGAGAAGGGGATAATTATCCTCTTGGCCAACCTGATCCAGCATAACAGAGACCTGAAGAATAATTTCTTTGATTTGGAGACAGAAACTGAAATCTGAAAATGAGATACTACGCCAAAAGTACGATGAACTGTAGCTGATCATCAAAGATTGTGGTTATTTGCCCAATCTCAAAGTAATTCTCCTGGATGTTCTCCAAGTTGCTCTTCTGCCCAATCTGAAAGCAATACTCCTGGATGTTCTCCAAGTTGCTCTTCTGCCCAATCTGAAAGCAATACTCCTGGATGTTCTCGAAGTTGCTCTTCTGCCCTGCAATCTCAAAGTAATTCTCCTGGATGTTCTCGAAGTTGTTCTTCTGCCCAATTTCAAAGTAATTCTCCTGGATGTTTTCGAAGTTGCTCTTCTGCCCAATCTCAAAGTAATTCTCCTGGATGTTCTCGAAGTTGCTCTTCTGTCCAATCTCAAAGTAATTCTCCTGGATGTTCTCGAAGTTGCTCTTCTGCCCAATCTCAAAGTAATTCTCCTGGATGTTCTCGATGTTGCTCTTCTGCCCAATCTGCTAAATGGTTCTATTTGTTAAAAATATATCTTCTTGTTTCCCCCTTGCAAGGGTGTATACAGACCTGTGAAGAAGGAGGGGGGCGTAGTCCCTCTAGAACACGCTATCATACTTGTACTCCTATTTTTTTGCATAATAAAAAAAACCTGTATAATAATGATATTTCTTTTTACAAAATGTTACTAAGGAATTTGTAATTATCATTATATTATGCCTAAAAATGTGCCCATGTGCATCAAACCTTCTATAAAGATGTGCATCCGACCTACAAATATTGTGCATCCGACCTAAAGAAGAGTGCAGCGCCGACGCTGCGACGGTCAGATTAAAATATAGTCTGAAAAATGTAAAGGAAGTTCTAAATAATATTTATATATATATATATATATATTACACGTTGAACTGGTAAATATTAAATAATTATAAACTCTACAATTAAACATCAGTGTACACATTTAACTTAAATCACAACGATGGAATGCAAAATTACAGCAAGATTCAATGGAAAAAAATAGCTAAAATAAAATTTCTTTAAAAACTGTTTCGGGCCAAATGCTCCGAATATATGCAACCTTAAAACATTAAACTTGAAAATATGCAAATTTTAGCCGGTTAAAATGTTAAAAAGATGTTTTCTAAGATTAAGATAACTAAAATCTAAAAATCAAACATGGCTTACTGGACAACAAAAAACTATAAAATTCAATGACTATAAAACTAAAAAATGAAAATAAAATGACTTTTGTAAGGTATAGACTCATGAATTAATCAAATAAAAACATGTGAGATTGCAGATACAATATTTTAGAATTTTTAAACCAAATCATTTTTAACTAGCAACATTTAGGCTGGATGAGCAAAAATCTATGTAAAACCCAATTAATAGTTTAGAAAATAATTTGGTTCACGGATATGACACTGCGTATTCTGTGAGAATTGATTTGCAAGAATGTGAAGAATTTTAACAATTCTTATAAATGCATCTAAGCTAATTTTTATTTTTCTACTATACACTATGCTAAATATTTTTAAATGAGTTCTTTTCCCGTTTCAGAATAATAAATATATTTTTATAAATCGTCAAATATATTTCTCGGTGGCTCCCGTGCCGTTATCTCCATATCTTGATTCCGATTTGAGAATGCGGAAACCTAAAACAAAGTAAAAAAGTGGCTTTATAATTTTGATGATCATTACTTCCTCCCTTGTTTCCCGAAAAAAATACTTAAAATAACCAATGTATAAATTTCCCTAGAAAAGTTATTTTTCATCTAAAATGCTTACAGTGAAACTCATGAAAGGTGAAATGATGAAAAATACATTATCCTAGAAAATGATTTGATTCACAGAACTAAAAAATATAAAAGGTCCGATAAAAACTGAATTTTTTGAATTTTTCTATAAAAACTACATTAATATCAATTAAAAGATATAAAAAACCTATTTCAATAAAAAAAATTATTTACTTTTTTAGTTTTTAATTAATATTTAAGATTTTTTCTATTCCCAGTAATTATTACTTGACAATTTAACAATGAGCAGTAAACTTACTTGTCTATTGAATTCCCTTGGAGGAGGGCTTGAACTCTCCCTTGCTTCCCTTGTTTCCCTTGAATTCATATTGTTTTCGCCATTTTTCCTTCCTCCATCATTCAACTTTCCTCTTCTTCTCTTCTCCCTTCTAAACAATTATTTTTCCTCTTTATTTTTCAATTTAGTCAGTCTTACTCTGCTTACTTGATTTAGTTTTGTTTATGCTATACAGTATACATTCCGAAGAAAGTTCTACCACAGAATTTCTTTTGAGCCCGAGATTTTAAAAGTTTGGCTCCAACCGTAATTCCTTAATCCCGACTAAACCCAATCTTCGACCCAACCCTGACGACAGCTTGTGTCATGTGATTGACAGCTGCACGATCTTCGGCCCAATGTAATAAAACCGACCTTGGTTGGTTTTACTGGAGAATAAGGATCAATGTTGAAAAAATTTCATAATTCATATATATCTATATACAAATTTGCCTTGTCTGTCTTGGTGTCTGTTTGTTTGTTTGTATCCAATAAACGTCAAAACGGCTGAACCGATCGGGCCCAAATTTTTTGTGGGACATCACGTGACCACAGGGAAGGTTTATGAATGGTAAATTTTTTTTTAAAAATGTGATTTAAAGGTTTTTAATTTTGTAAAAAAAATTTAAATTCTTGAAAATCCGCGATTTTTTTTTTAAAAATCCGCAAAATTTTTTCTTCTTTGTTTTAAAATGTAAACAAAAAGAACATTTAACATAGTATTTAAAATTCTCAGTCATAAATTGAAAAATTACTGGTGTATCACAAATTATTACATCTATTTCTTTAATGAGCAATTAATTCTATTTCTAGAGATTTCAAATACAGGGATATACAAAATTTCTCGTCTAATTAAGTTTGAAAAACAGACATTACTTGTCTCCGAATTATAGTACAGCGTTTTTATAGTGAAGCGTTTTTATATGGTTGCGTTTATATAGGGTAGCGTTTTTATATGGTTGCGTTTATATAGGGTAGCGTTTTTATATGGTTGCGTTTATATAGGGTAGCGTTTTTATATGGTTGCGTTTATATATAGTAGCGTTTTTATAGATACATCCAAAAAAACCTATTTAAAACTTGCATAAATTTTCGATATTACGAAACAATGGGATATTTTCTAAAAACTTTGAGAGGGCTAACTGGCCGCCTTTGAGTAACGAGTATGGTGTAAATTAATTAATTTAATTAATGGAGAAAAGTGGTTAAACTACGTGGACTTAGTTAAACCACTTCTCTTGTGCGCCGTTTCAAGTGGGTTAACTCATATTCTTTCATGAATCCATATTTATTTTTCATTCAGCTGATTTTTATTTTATTTTCCTTCCGAACAATTTTTAATTAATTTGTCTAGCAAATTTAATATTAAGCTCCAATCCTACTTTCTTCTTTCTTTAACGAAATTTCTTCTAAATTTTCTTTAAAATTCTTAATTCTTCTATCTTCTCCCTTCTTACAAATCAAATAATTAAATCTTATTATTTATCATTCAGCTTATTAATCTATCTTATCCTTTCTTACCAACCAATTAATTAAATCTTATTATTTATCATTCAGCTTATTATTCTATCTTCTCCTTTCTTACCAATCAAATAATTAATTCTTATTATTTATCATTCAGCTTATTATTCTATCTTATCCTTTCTTAGCAATCAAATAATCAAATCTTATTTATCATTCAGCTTATTTCTTCCATCATTTCATTCATCTCTTCTCCCTTTTTATGGGAATAAACTCTAAGGAAAACTCACAAGTGTCAATCTTGAAATTAATTTAGAAAAAAATTTATTTCTTTATGAGCTTCTTTTAATTGGTTTCTTTCTCTGTAAACAATCAACAAATCAACTTTTCTTTTTCTTTATCATTACGCTTCAATCTTCATCTTTTCTCCCTTTTAAATAATCAATTGATTAATTCATTCTAAATAATTATTATTCAGCTCCGCTCTATTTCTCTTCACCCTTCTAAATAATCGATTAATTGATCATTTCATCCTGACCAATTTTAATTCAGCTTAAATTTTTATCTCTTCTTTCTTCATCTTAATCAAATATCATTCAACTCCGCTCTATTCCTCTTCTTCATTCCAAAGAATCAATTGATCAATTCATTTAAATCAATTATCATTCAGCTCCGCTCTATTTTTCATCTCTCTTCTAAATAATCAAATGATCAATTCATGTTAATCAATTATCATTCAGCTCCGCTCTATTTCTCTTCTCTCTTCTGAATAATCAAATGATCCATTCATGTTAATCAATTATCATTCAGATCCACTTTATATCCCTTCTCCCCTCTGAATAAGTGATTGATCAATTCATCCTAATCAAATCCACTCTATATCTCTTCTCCCCTCTGAATAAGTGATTAATCAATTCATCCTAATCAAATCCACTCTATATCTCTTCTCCCCTCTGAATAATCAAATGATCAATTCATCTTAATCAGATCCACTCTATATCTCTTCTCCCCTCTGAATAATTGATTGATCAATTCATCCTAATCAATTATAATTCAGCTTCAATGTACACCTCTTCTTCCTTCTCTCATTAATTATTATGTTTATGCATTATACAATCCGAAGTTTGAAATATAACGAAAAAATGGGATATTTTTGAAAAACTTTGAGACGGAGAACTGGCCGCCTTTAATTAATTAATTAATTAATAAACATCAATCAATTAATAAATTTTCCTGATTTCACCGATTAAATTTCTCTCATTTAATTCTAATCAATCAACAAATCAAATATTTATATTAAATCTTTCATCTTTCCTCATCTTCAACTCTACCTTTTTTGCAATGAATTAATATTTTTATTCATTATTTTCACAGATGAACAATATTCTTTTTTTTCTCTTAGAGGGGAACTACGATAGTGAGTCAATTTTTTATTAAATTAAAAATTTTATGAAGATAAATACTGTCAGCGTTTAAAATGTGCAAAATCCTTGAGGAACACAAATCTGTGATTGAAAACCAATAAACCAATTTTAGCAACATGTTTTTCCGATCAAAAAAGGGTTCTTGAGAAACCTACAATGCTTATTTCGAAAAAAAATGTATAATAAATCAAATAAATTCTTACTAACCTAACAAGCTCTTTACCCTCCTCCACAAGTTCTCCACTAGTATTATCACTCACAAGGAACTGTTGGAACCCAAGACTTGAAAGGAATCTAGAACCTGAAGCAGAATTAAAATTCATTCTTATTAGAAAAAAGTTTCAATTAACGACTGTGGAATGTATTTCCAAAACTTATCCCGATGGGGATAATTCCTGCCACTATTGAGGAAAAAAAAATCAACCTCAAAAGGCAAGATTAAAAAAATAGTTTTTATCCAAAAAATTTCATATCTTTTCTTTATTTAACAGAAATATTCAGGACCTAAATCCGAATCCCTTTTTTTCAGGACGGATCCAGGATCCAGATCCGCATCAAAATGAAATGGACCCTGTCCCTAAGCACTGATAATTGATAATCCTTTGCCGTGTAATACCTAAGGAAAGGTATGTGGATAGAGTAAGGACGATGAGCAGGATGGGGAAGTATATGTTGAAGTAGTCGGAGATGATGGAGACAACGTCCATGTGTCCCATCACCTTGGTGTACGCGGTCTCAGGCAGATCCTCACCGAGCACGTGACTAAAAAAGAAACACGTGTAAAATGTTAAAATGTCAACCTAACCTTCTCGTGATCGGACATCACAACAGACAAACAGAGATTAATACTCAGACGGGTCAACCTATGACCGCATTAAAATCTCAATATGACAACTAATCTGAGATTTAAATAAGGGTTAACAATTCGCGAATGAAGCTATTACATCATTTTAATGTCATTCTGCTTTTATTAATCCATTGATAGATACGCCGGTTACTGTACTGTACAATTGTACAAATTTTTTCAAAATCATATTTTAAAAAAAAGAAATAAAGTGATTGAATATTTAATAAAGACGTTTTCCAGAGTTTAAAATAAACCAATATATTAAGAAATACGAGGCCAATATACGAGTATAGGATTATTTGCAAATTTGAATATTCAAAATCTAAAATCTAATTTCTTATTAAAAAAAATAACTTTGCAACAATGTTTGGTAAAAACAATTTATAGAATATAATTGTTTACACATTTGAATTTGACCTTGACGGACCGCTAGAAACTAATTTTATCAAAACAATAACAAATATTGTCAGAAATAGATGTCCAAATTTCCCAGTAAGAGTTGGACGGTCAGACTCAGACTTCTTGTTTAATGTTTATTTACATTAAACCAGTTTCCTACGCACATTAAAATGGAAAAAAGAAAAGCTGTCAGTTAGTGGCTTCTCTTTGTTTACTTGTAAACTTGTAATTTGAAAAAGCTTGGTAAAAAATAAAACCTGTTTAGAAAATTCGTCTTCATTGTATTGATATAAACGTCGCCCATTGTACGTCACAGTAAGGTGTACACAATGTTACTCTGTATATCTGTGCATCGTAAAACCAATGTGATTTCTATTTTGTGATTGTTTTACATAATCACAAGCAGGCAAAGTACTACTTATCTTTACTTCCAGATAAGAATGGTTGTCTGTGGGTTTATGTTTACCCTGTGAAAACCTATATATGTTTTTTATTACAGACTAAGAATGGGGATAAAGCACACAAGAGACCAAAAAACATTATACAGGCCAATTTTATCAATGGTAGCAGAGCTATATTGTTAAGATCTACGGACCTTGTTTGAAATACCTGACCAAAGGTGTTTGTGAGTTAAACCTGATCAAAGGTTTTTATCGGCTATACTGTAGGTACAAATTTAAATCTTTACAATTAATTTCAGAATTACGGACATATACCGCGTTATAAGAAAACCGAAAACCTATCCCCATCACCTTGCTCTGACCTTTAAATAAATCTGTGAGGAAAATTGGACAAAATGTAAGTTCCATTTAACTCTGAGATGTGAGCTAGTAAAACCAACTGGAAACTTTTCAAATTTTACCACCTCACGTAAACTCAAGTTGATAGATCAAAGACAGAACTTAGATTGGTTCAACTAAATTCTGTTAAAGGAACAAGAATGCATTTTTTCATTTTTCAAATCAGATTTTTTTTATAAAAGTTCATTTTTCAAAGAAAAAGAAGATTTAGAATTGCGACGCTCTTGTTTTCTTAATTTTTTCTAGAATAACCGAAGAAAATCAGATAAAATGATAACCAAAGAAAAATCAGATAAAACGATAAATATTTTTTTTAAATGCAAAATAATTATTGTTAAAAAATGCAAGCCTTCTATGAAAGTCGGACATTGCCATCTTTTGGAGGACCACTTGAAATTACGCGTACAGTCCCTTTAATTGTATGACTGCTAGCTCTACCTATCCATGTGTATGAGAGAGAGGAAGTTTAGGCAGAGGGGAGGAGTAAGCCTGCACAGTAGAGCTCCGGAGAATAGTAGAGTATACTCTCCGCTCTGATGGTTGGAAGCAAGGTAGTAATAGTTCAATACACGTACCCTGAACATTAAAATAAATATATAATCGTGTAAAAACTGTACTGTAAAAACTGTACTGTAAAAACTGTACTGTAAAAACTGTACTGTAAAAACTGTACTGTAAAAACTGTACTGTAAAAACTGCACTGTAAATAAAAACTGTACTGTAAAAACTGTACTGTAAAAAACTGCACTGTAAAAAACTGTACTGTAAAAACTGTACTGTAAAAACTGTACTGTAAAAACTGTACTGTTAAAACTGTACTGTAAAAACTGTACTGTAAAAACTTTACTGTAAAAAACTGTACTGTAAAAAACTGCACTTTAAAAAACTGTACCATAAAAACTGTACTGTAAAAACTGTACTGTAAAAACTGAAGACGTCGTTTATAATGAATTCCTGGTTCTTCTACCTTTTTCTTTCATGTTTTTGTTATTTAAAATTTCAAAAAAATTTATCATATATTTCTCAACTATTTCCCTCAAATAAATCTTATTATTTTAATGGGCGGGTTAAAATTGCAAAATTTAATAAAAACAAACTTAAACCGAATACAGTATTGAAGGGAAGTGAGTTTGATTAAAAGTTTTTTAAACACGAAGTAAACTGCAAAACTATTAACAAAACTACAGGGGGGACGGACTTAGATTTACAATAGATGCAACGTAGAATTTGTAGACTCAGTACAGCTGTATTCAGACGTCACGTCACAAGTGTCATTTCAGTTTTTGTGTCCGACAAAATTATTAATAATAGTGATAATTTTAGAATAAAGTGCTTACAGTAAAATAAGTGAAATTTTATGTGGTCTTTATTTTCTGTTTATACACTTTTTTATTAAATCTTGGAAAGCATGTCGACTAATGCGAGAAAATTTAGTTTTCCTTGTTATATTTGACACTTGTGACGTCGTGTATAATAGATCCATTTCTCTGTTGCCACCTATTGTACTTGATAATCTATTTGGATTTACTTACTTGAATATAGTATAGAAAGCACATAGTGCCATATAGCAGATGGTAAGGAATGAGATGATCTGTATTGCTGTATAGTTCTGGTTGTAGCTGGCGGCCTGGATAAACAGAGCGAACAGGGACAACGTGGGACTCTTCACGAAGAAGGTCACCTAAACAAAACAAATCAAAGGGACTGTTAACTTTGAACCTCCATTTTGTGATTCACGTGTCCGATTAACAAGGGTACTTTTAAAAACTTTGTCGAAGCTAAATTGAAATGACTTAATCTATTTTTTTTCCCATGTGAAAGTTTATGATTTAATCGATTTCATTTCCTCGATAATCCAACTGACGGATTTGCAACAGAGAAAAGGAAGGAAATTGACAAAATTGTAGATTTTAATGAGGGAAAAACGATGATAACTCGTAATTTGATGAATTTATTAGAGTGGATATTTCTAATGGTAAAAACGAGACTCTGCAAGAAATTTTTGAATGTGAATATCATTTATAACGTGGAGGGGTTGACATAAATATAAAGTAAGTATGATGGAGACAGGAGGGCCGGGGTAGNTCTAGCAATGCATCAATGCACTAATCCATTACTCCATTATGATGGATAGAGCTGAAGCTATGATTGCACAAGTTCTGTAGAGCATAGGAACCAGTAAACATTGGTAATACCATTCTACCTGAGGAGTATACACGACACGATACCAGCAATCCTTTAAACAATAATTATATATTTACAGGGATATATCTCCATTATACGATAATTATAAATTTACACCGATAAATCTCCTTTTTACAATGATTATATATTTATCTCCTTTATACAATAATTATATATTTACAGGGATATAACTCATGTATAACACTAATTATATATTTACAGGGATATATCTCCTTTTTACAATAATTATATATTTACAGGGATATATCTCCTTTACACAATGATTATATATTTACAGGGATATATCTACTTTATACAATAATTATATATTTACAGGGATATATCTCCTTTATACAATAATAATATATTTACAGGGATATATCTACTTTATACAATAATTATATATTTACAGGGATATATCTCATGTATAACACTAATTATATATCTCCTTAATACAATAAATATATATTTACAAGGATATATCTCCTTTATACAATGCTTATATATTTACAGGGATATTTCTCATTTATACAATAATTATATATTTACAGGGATTTATCTCCATTATACAATGATTATATATTTACAGGGATATATCTCCTTTATACGATAATTATATATTTACAGGGATATATCTCCTTTATAAAATAATTATATATTTACAGAGATATATCTCCTTTTTACAATAATTATATATTTACAGGGAAATATCTCCTTTATACAATGATTATATATTTACAGGGATATATCTACTTTATACAATAATTATATATTTACAGGGATATATCTCTTATATCTCCTTTATACAATAATAATATATTTACAGGGATATATCTACTTTATACAATGATTATATATTTACAGGGATATATCTCCTTTATACAATGATTATATATTTACAGGGATATATCTCCTTACTACACTGATTATATATTTACAGGGATATATCTTCTTTATAGAATAATTATATATTTTCATCGATAAATCTTCTTTATACAATAAATATATATTTAAAGCGATGTATATTTTCCGTTTAAAAAGAAAAATTCTTAATATTAAGAATTTTGATAATTAAACTTTTTGATATTTTTTATAGAAAAAAATTAATTTCTGAAACGATTGCTTCTCTGCCAATTAAAAAAATAATTACTTGCAGAAAGAAAGTGCATTTACTTTTTAATTAGAAGTTGTTATTTAGCATGACAAGTTTTTCTTGAACTGTGTTTAGGCGACTGTTAGTGTGCAATTGGCTTTGCCCTTGCCATGTTGGACGTTGGTGTACAGTAGACTTGAGTCATTTATCAAGTGAAAAAATTTCCGTCTGTTAGCGGTTATTTTTGAAGAAGACTATGCCTTGATTATTACGGAATCAGTGCTTAGGATCCAGATCCGGATTCGTTGGATCCACAATATTTTGACTTGCTGGATCCGCATCCGCAAAAATATGCCGATCCACGGATCCGGATCAATTTTTCCTAAGCACTGTACGAAATGATTATTAATCATTTATTATTTACCTTGCGTGGCATCTGATGTTTGAAAGATCTGTCTGCGCTGAGTGAATTCTTATTTTGATCCTCATGTGCAAATACTTTATCAATTAGATCCTCCCACTGAGCCTCAGTTCTCCTACACGATCAATCAATCAATAAAATCAATCCATCAATCCATCAATCTATCATTTCCACAATTCAGCAATCCATCAGTCTAGCAATGCATCAATGCACTAATCCATTACTCCATTAATCAATCAATCAATCAATCAATCAATCAATCAAACAATCAATCAATCAATCAATCAATCAATCAATCAATCAATGAACCAATCAACCAAATCAAATCAATGCAAATTCTGGATTAAAATTGGCTCTTTTCGGCTAGACTAAAAATGACCAAAACCTTATTAAAAAACAATACATATTTTTTGTTTATCTGATTAAAAATGACTAAAAAGATTAAATAAGTTCTGGTTCTCACTTGTGTGCCTGTAAAGCCATGTTGACCCGCTTGTGCAACTTGGCAAGATGTTTCTCATTGATCTCAATACTCGGGTCTTGCTAAACACATTACAACATTAACAATTTGATTTTAAAATATAAAGAAACAGTAAGACTCGAAAAAAAGAGGAATTCATCTTTTTTTCGTTTTCTTCCTTTTTCTTGTAAAATCTTGCAAATGATTTAGTAATCTTCAACTGAACTACTTAAAAAACGGTGCCTTTAACACGTTAAAAGATATTTCAGTTGCAACAATTGAAAACTACAAAATTCTCAGCGACTAATGTATTTAGGGAAGGGCAAGTAAGACATTAATTTAACAGTTTTCTAGTTCTTACAGTATCAACCAAATTAGAGCATTACACTTGCGATTTCTCAAAAAAAAACCGTAATTTAGTATACAATTGACAACAATTCATATCATGTTTCTAGATAAAGTTTAAACCCCTTCCTCCACCTTAGAAAATTTTAAAATGAAAGTATGATTTTTAACTGATTTATTTTTGTACAGTATATATCCGAATGTTACACAATTACACTCTACCAACCTCAATTCTTCTTCGTCGAACCCTTTCCAGGAGTTCAGTTGGTACCTTCCCTTTAACCAAACCAAACATTCATATCAATAGTTTCTCGTTTAATACACTGAAGATTGATGAAGTTCAGAGATACAGGGTGTCCCGCGAAACATGACAGTAGCAAGATAATTTGACGGACGTCTTTGTTCTTTCAAATAATTTGCGACAGTTATTAGTTATCCTGATTTTGGAAGGAAAAATCTTGAGTTTATAATCACAAAATACCTCCTAGTCCCGACTCTTGTACCGATTTCGACAATTTGGATTTTAATAAATTGAAATCTGAACAAAATTCTTAATATCTCCGGTAATACTGACAACACAAAAAAGGCAGACCACATTTTGAAAATTCCAGGACTAGGAGAATTTTGTGATTATTGTTTCATGAATCTTAGAGTTAAAAGTAGGTTGACGAATGAGTACTGCAAAATATTTCGAAGATGAAAGACGACCTTCAAGTCGTCTTGCACCTCGTGGGACACCCTACGTAAGATGATTCATGATTAAAATTTGAATCGATCGGATTATTTTCATTTCTTTTCTTAAACTTTATGAGCGATTTGAAGGTTTGGTTTGCCTAGAATGATGTCAATGTAGGGTCTGCAAGAGTGCGCCAAATCCACTTGCCTACAAGAAATAAATAATTATCAACTTTTTACAAATATTTGGAATTTCGTCAATATACAACAAAATTTATCATATTAAATTTTTCGTTAAAAAGTTTTTCGAGCCTTTTTTGATATTTTTAATTACTATTTGTGGAACTTCAGTTTAAGTGTGGTTTTGACCGAATAGACTCAAGGCTAAATGTTTGGCCTCTTTACAAACTATGTGAATCGTCAGATTTTACACGAATTTTCAGTCACGGGCAGCTCTGCCCTTTCGTTGAATTTAGTAAAACAAGTACAATATTCAAGTTATGTTTTAGGATTTTTGGATAGGCAAGGAGTTGATTTAAAGGAAGGAGATTGTCAGGTGATCTGTGGCAGGGTGAGATCATAAGGATTAATGTAGAAACAAATATTCTATTATTATTATTAATACATATTTTCCTCGTCTGCTTATTTGTCTGTCTGTATCTGCAACAAACCTCAAAACGGCTGAAACGATGGGCCCAGATTTTGCAGCTTCTACGCTACCAAGAGCTTCCTCTAAATGAACCCCTGAGAAATGTATACCTTGAAGCAGCTTCTACGCTACCCAGAGTTTCCTCTAAATGAACCCCTGAGAAATGTATACCTTGAAGCAGCTTCTACGCTACACAGAGCTTCCTCTAAATGAACCCCTGAGAAATGTATACCTTGAAGCAGCTTCTACGCTACCCAGAGCTTCCTCTAAATGAGCCACTGAGAAATGTATACCTTGAAGCAGCTTCTACGCTACCCAGAGCTTCCTCTAAATGCAGCTTCTACGCTACCCAGAGCTTCCTCTAAATGAACCCCTGAGAAATGTATACCTTGAAGCAGCTTCTACGCTACCCAGAGCTTCCTCTAAATCCCCTTCAGCATCACTTCTCTCACCCCACAGTTTGGAAACCTTAACACAAACAATTTTTTCCCCGTTTTAATTTTTTAATTCTTCCATTTTATTTTTAATCTTGTTTTTTTTTCTCTTCAGTAAAGGATAATTTATTGCTGCTGCCTAAAAAAGAACTACGTCATTTGTCTTATTTATCTTTATTAAAGTAACCCATACCCTTTTCTAAAGTTACACTATTCCAGCAAGGGTATATAAGTGATTTTGTAATCTTTCACTAGTAAATATTCAAATACAGTTTTTTATATTTGGATTTGTTTGAGGAAAATTAATGATTTTTTTGGAGGAAATTGTGAAAACAAGGTTAAGATATCTGCACGCAACCGTTCCATTTCAAGTTTTGTAGGGGTGTAATTCTTAAAATGGTTTGACCTTGTATTCCTACCTTAAAATATGCCTGATTAAGCCTGTGTCCCCTCTTGCTTGAATTCCAAAGTTGTTGAGGAACTTCAACAAGGCCGTATCCAAGCATAAACACAAGCAATGTTAGACCCCAGGTGTTGCTTGCTGCGGCTGCAATTGCCTGAATAAATAACTTAAGGGAACTGTAAGCGTAATTTTAAGCCATCTTCCATTTCTAGAGGGATATTCCCGATTCACAACGGTACCCTTTAAACCTTGGACTAACCAAAAATGTATTTACTGAAATTTTTGTAAATGTTGAACACATTGTTTGCAAGCTAACATTAATACTAGCTTGGGAACCCAGCGCTGCCCAGGTTACTAAAAGTTACTCCCGCCGTTTACCCGCACTGGAACGATTTTACCGAGAAACTAAATTTTCGCTATTAATGTAGACCCACTCAAAACCAAGCTAAAAACATTCCCGTGAGTTTCCCGAATTCCCCAATCAAAATTTATTTGAGGCGATCGGTGCATGAGTTCCCAAGTTTTGATCGGACAAACAAACAAACAAACAAACAAACAGACAGACAAACCGAGATTTATATATATATATATTCTTTTTTCTCCTTTTTTAATAAAATGCAAAGTTTAAAAACTGAAATGTATATATATAGATATATCCTTTTTAGAAGTGGCAGAGTATAAGTATTCACATTCAAATTGAAATTACGCAAGTACAGTTTCTTTAGATAACTTTATTATTAAGAATCAAACCTCAGTGTATAAGTAATGAAATACAGATTTTCTCTCCTAGGACCCAATAAAATTTCCTTTTGCCTCTGTTAATTAGCTGTTAGTTGATGAAGTTCTCATGTTACATTAAGAAAATACAAAAAAGAATCTTTAACATAACGTATCTCAATATCNCCCCCCAGCTCCCCCAAGAAACAATATTATTTAAATGTTTTAAGAACAGTAAACGTAATTCTAAGTGACCCTTTACACCTATCTAGAAGTCAATTTTTGATGAAAAATAATCAATTTCAGGTAGAAAAACAAAGATATCTCATAAAAGATTGAATAGACAAATGTTTACAGGGAACCCTATTGAGTCGGACATTCAACTTTATAATAATTGATCAAGTCTACAATATGAATGTTTCTACCTTTAGTTTGTTTCCATCTAGATCTAATCCTGGTTGGACAGCAATATATATGACTAGTATGATGGCTATGAACAGGTAGGAAGTGTAGTATATTGCATTATCCCATAAACTTGATTTCAGTTTACCCCAGAATGTAAACTCTCCAGCTTGCGTGAAACTCTGAAAATGAAAGAATAAATATATTGTTTCATTGAAGTTCTGAACCTAAACCTGTAAGCTGAACCAACACCATCTCATGAAATTTTTTCCCTGTATAAAAACTGACTCTTATCTAAACCCTGTCCAGAATCCAGATTTCTAAATCCTCAACATTTCACTTTACGCTGAAGTTGTTTCTCAATCCTAAATTATCTCTTCAACCTGTAACCCTGAACTCAATCCTGAACCTTGTCCTCAATCCTGAACCCTGTTCCCAATCTTGAACCCTGTACTCAATCCGAACCCTGTCCTCAATCTTAAACCGTATTCTCAATCCTGAACCCTGTCCTCAATCTTGAACCCTGTCCTTAATCAAATCCTGTACTCAATCCTGAACCCTGTACTCAATCCTGAACCTTGTCCTCAATCCTGAACCCTGTTCAAAATCTTGAACCCTGTACTCAATCCGAACCCTGTCCTCAATCTTAAACCCTGTTCTCAATCCTGAACCCTGTCCTCAATCTTGAACCCTGTCCTCAATCCTAAACCCTGTACTCAATCCTGAATCCTGTCCTCAATCCTTAACCCTGTCCTCAATCCTGAACCCTGTTCTCAATCCTGAACCCTGTTCTCAATCCTGAACCCTGTTCTCAATCCTGAACCCTGTTCCCAAACCTGAACCCTGTTCTCAATCCTGAACCCTGTTCTCAATCCTGAACCCTGTTCTCAATCTTGAACCCTGAACCCTGTTCTCAACCCTTGAACCCTGTTCCCAATCCTGATCCCTGTCCTCAATCTTAAACTTTGTTCTCAATCCCCTGTCCTCAATCTTAAACCCTGTTCTCAATTCTGAACCCTGTCCATCCTAAATCATATCCTTTACGATAAACCCAGTCCTCACCCTTGAACCCTGTCCTCAACCCTGAATCCTGTCAATCATTAACCCTGTATTCAACCCTGAACCATGTATTGTATATTGTATACCTGCATAAGAGGAAGAAATATCCAGGTTAGAAGTTGACTACTCCAGTAAACTACCCTCCATAGATTATACAACGATGAGTCCTCTACAATAAAATCCGGTGTGTTGCAAGGATCATATTCTGGTGTAGATGAGTTCCCGAACAGGTTTCCTAAGACCAAATTTAATAAACTATGCTTCATCTTCGATTTTTTTCGTGGATTTTAAAAAAATCAAAAAAATTTAAGGAATCATTTGAGGCCCCACAAAAAAATTGGGCCCGATCGGTTCAGCCGTTTGGACGTTTTTCGGTAAGAAACAGACAAGAAAAGAATATATATATATAGAAGTTAGAGAGAAATAGTAAAACTACGTGGACTAGGTTAAACCTCTTCTCTTGTGCACTATTTCATGATCTTTAAAAAAAGTGGTTCAATTTAGTCTTTGTAGTTCAACTACCTCTTGATATTAATTAAATTTGGTTCCTGAAGAATCTGTGATGGATGTTGAAGAGTTGACAGTTGATACTTCTACCAGTGTTGTATCTTCTTGGGTCAAGTTTGTATTTGTGATATTTGATCCGGTCCCATTAATTGCTCGCAGATGACAGCTTCTGGAAAAGGGGTAAATATTAGAAGAAGAAAATGTATGCCCTAGGTGGCATCTGTTCAATTTATGGTAAACATATCCTGAAACCCATATATTCCCTGAGCTGGGGAATAAATTGTTATGCGCATTTAAATTGATTCTCTTTTTGCGCTCTATGCAAACATAAATAACATCTGGGGGAAAAAAATTTCAGAAAAATGGGGGGGGGTGATTTTTCTTGAAAATATAAACCCATGGGTTTTAATTTAAGAAAAGATTATTAGGAAAGCTTCCAAAAGAAACACGTGGTTTAAGTGTTTGCAAACAAAGATAAAATAAAAATCTATTAAAAAACTGGAATAAACTTGTTTTTAATATTTTCAAATTTCGCGCCTTATGTATATCTTTTGTCATCTTTGTTCTTTCTTGGACTACAGAAACATTGTTGAGAATTTTGTTGTTTGCAATAGTTGCGACGAGTATATTTATAAAAGTGTTCAGGGTAAGTTTGAGAAATATTTCCGTTTCAAATTAAAAATCCTTTAGCAACGTTTTAAAATTAAAATATAAAAGAAGACGACAAGAATTCCATCTATATTTTCTAGAATAAAAAGTTGCCTGTAAACAGTTGAAGAAACATCTAGAGGAAGAATAAAAATTATGAGGAAGGAGAAATACCAGGCGGTCAATACAGATAGTGTGACCAGTACACGTTGTCTGTACACATCACTGTACCTAGATATATATTAGTACAGTGTACCCAGTACACGTTGTCTGTACACATCACTGTACCTAGATATATATTAGTACAGTGTACCCAGTAGACGTTGTCTGTACACATCACTGTACCTAGATATATATTAGTACAGATAATGTGACCAGTACACGTTGTCTGTACACATCACTGTACCTCGATATATATTAGTAAAGTGTACCCAGTACACGTTGTCTGTACAAATCACTGTACCTAGATATATATTAGTACAGTGTACCCAGAACACGTTGTCTGTACACATCACTGTACCTAGATATATATTAGTACAGTGTACCAAGAACACGTTGTCTGTACAAATCACTGTACCTGCGTGTAGCTGGAAACAGTGCGTAACCTAATTGAGAGCTCTACACGCTTTGTGCGTATATGACGTAAAGCGTATCCTTCGCATGTAAACAACTGCTCTTCAGTTTGTCGCTAGCATATATTTCAATACAATACATGTTTGCATTTCCAACCGTTTTCTTTTCTTTTCATACATTTTTCTATCACTTCTGATGAGTGTTAATAACTAATTTCGCGTTTCAAATCAAGAATACTTCCTTATATTTAGTGCAAGGAGTACGTTTTTGTGAACTTACTAATCGCTGTGCCCTACTGAGAACAAACTATGTACAGTAACTTGTAGTGAACAAACGAATCGTTAAAGAAACTGAGTCTGAATTTAATAAATTTGAGCCGCGTCTCAAATCCGCCAAAACCCGGTTTCATGTGAGCGCCGGCTTAATCCTTGAAACATTGAATACAATTTTAAGTGGAATCAACCATATTTGAGTTGCGTCTCAAATTTAAGCCGCGGCTCAAATTCTTTTAATTCGGCATCAGTACACCTAATTTCAAGGAACCTAGCATTTGATACGTTACATGCTTGATTCACAACTTTTCCCTTTAAAGGGAGTGACCGGCGATGTATGGTGGTTGAACTGAGTATGAAGTGTTGTAGACAAATTTCTTAGGATTCATTTGAGAAACGGGAATTGAAAATAGTCTATTTTGAGAGAGAAATTACGAGATCTCCCATAATTTTTTCTCAGACAAAGATTTTATTTGGCCTCTTAAATTTGTAAAATCCATGCCGGTCACTCCCTTTAAAAGCCAGTTAAAATTACAACCCCTTTTATCACTACCATAATATTTTCTGCTGGTTTACCTCCAAAGAAGCAGTGCTGCGAGGATGAACGTGATGCATATATCAAATGCAAACACCCCCGGAGACATGTTTATAATCTCATCTGAAAATTAAGATGAACTCTACAGAAAGAATTTAACAGATTACATATTCATTAACTTCATAGTTTTAAATCTTTATTGAAATATGTACACGGAACTAGATTTTTCTTGTAGAGTCATAACATTAAATTTAAAATCTAGGATTTCAGAAAAAGAAAGGGTTTGCTCCGATCTCGGCAGAGCAATGAATGTCAGATAATAGTTTCTCAGTGAACAAGTGCAGATGTTTTCCCGTCAATCCAACAGATTTATTAATTTTTAAATAATTTGGTTGATGTTTAAATTAAACTCTAAGCCAGTAGAGAGATGATCTGATTCTGTTGTAGTCGGGAAGGTTCTCAATGGGCCCAACTGCGGCTACGGCGGGGCACCTAATAAAAGGATTAAAAAATTATGAATATAAACATTCAACAAAACTACCCTCTTCTTAATTATAATTATATATATAGGTCTTAAAAAAACAACCGCAATTAAACCCCTCTAAACCCATATAACTTAAGAGGTAATATATGGAATAAATTTTAATTAATCATGCTTTTTCTTCCCAAGAAAAATCAACAAACCTACCCCCGGCCCCCCCCCCTTTCATCAGTCATGATAAAATAAACCCACCTGTCATAAATATACTTGTAGCATGTATCTCTAACGAGCTGAGCATCTACAGCATCGATCCTAGCCTCAAGTTCGTGCTGGGGCATTCTAAACACGAGAACAAATGTAATTTAATTTTACCAGTATGTAGATTGCAGAACTTTATAATGAATATTAATACTCTTGTTAGTTCATTTTACATTAACCATTTTGCCATATTTTTGCAATATTTCTTTCGCAAAGGCAGTTTAAAGTGGCAAAAATATAAAAAATGGAACCAAAAAAAAGGAATCAAAGTAGAAGAATAATTATTTTATTTATTTTATTTATTTATTTAGTAATACTTTTTAGAAATTAAATCATTAGTAGATCAATTTTAACATTTAACTATGAAAAGATTAAATTTCATAGATATCATTAGTGAAGATGTCTATATTATGTTATATCTAGTATTTAGTAGTTAATTAAGAAGGTATAACAATTTCAAAAGTTAGATTATAGAAAACCGCTTGCAATTACTTATTTTTCAAGATATCAATAAGCTGTATTTGCCCATGACGTTTTATATTGAATGTAAGAAAACCCCGTTTGAATTTTGAAAATGATTGACTACTGAGCGAGGGTCGGTTTTCATGAACGATAATGTAGGCTTTCTGTATACATTGTGAAAGTTACGGAAAAGGTGTCTGAAAAATACACAGCCCTGAAGATATACACCCCTGAAGAGGTGTATGTATACTGTATTGTTACCTTCTGCCGTAGCAAAGCATCTGTCTACCGATATCCTCACAGACAGGGGTAGTTCCGTCAAGCTGGAGAAGCATATTTGTCTTCAGCAGGTTCTTAGCACGCTCAACCTAATCAACCACAAAGTTAGAGACTCAATCAACTAACCATCAAGCGACAAAATCAATCAACAAATCAATCAATGCATTATTCAATACATCAATCAATGCACCAATTAACGCATTAGTCAATGCATTACTCAATGCATCAATTAATGCATCAGTCAATGTATTTCTCAATGTATCAATTAATGCAATCATTACATCAATACACCAATCAGTGCATCAGTCAATGTATCAATCAATGCATCAATTAATTCATCAATCAAAATGCATCAAATGTATCAATCAATCAATAAAATAAATCATATCAATCAATTCATTCTAGGTTTGAACGACCGCCTTTTAATCAAATTTAATTAAATTACCTCGAAGTCGGTGACATTATTGCAAAGACGCATCCATTCATGCGAGATATTGTAGATCATGTTCTCCTGGTTCACAGAGTCAGTTACGAAGTAGATTCCCCACAATCCAGTATCCTTAACAAATAGGATTAGAGGTGGGGTTGAAGGGAAGGTGGGGTAGGAGGGATTAGAGGTAAGGTAGTCCTAGGAGGGGGGGAAAGGGTTAGGTAGAAGGAAGAGATATTAAAAAAACTATTTCTTAGAAATGCTTAAGTGAAAAGTGGTAATGGAAAAGTTTTGCAGTTAAAAATATCAAATTAAATAACTTATATATATTATATATTATTATATACCTTATAACAAGTGTTGAAGGACTGGAAAGAGTGGGCGAATCCCTTCTCGTGGCAGTACTTGGCGAGGGGGGAGGAGTTGTTAGCACCACCACCCATGCTCCTGTCCCAGTTCCCGATCAGGGTGTTGGCAACCATCAAGGGAATATTGTCAGGGTTGCTCCAGCCACATCCTGATCAAGAAAAGGATTAGTTTACTAATAAAAATTCATAATTGGTCTATTCCCCCCCCCCTTCATAAATTTTGTTTTCCTTTTTCCTCAATCTGGGTCTTGATTGACTTTTTTTCTTAAGTTTATTATCCTTACAATAAAAAAACTCTACCCCCCTCCCCCATTGTAAATAGACAACAATAACAAGAACTTTTTTAATCAAAATGAAATTAGAGCATCGCTTTACACGTTCCGTAATCTTCACTCAAAGACATCCTAGCAGAAATTCTGGGGCACGGGAGGAGGAGAGAATTGAAGAATGAAAATGATTCGAATAATTTACTTTCTGGTTAATTACAAAAAACGTCGACGATACTTTTTTACAAAATTAACGTTCAACAGCCCTTTTTGCAATCTTCCCTATAATGCGTTTTGTAACATTATTTTTCATGTTAGGGTAGAAAAAGTATCAAAACCCGAACGTGTTTTAATCTCACCTTCAACTGCAATGGCAACATGGGCGAGGGGCATACCGTCATCACGGACACGGACATCAGAGCCAGTATATCTAGGATTATTTAGTTAGATAAAATCTACCAACTTACAACCCATGTGAAAATTATCCCCCGACACTAGACCTAATTAATCATATGTTTCCTGGATTTCGATGCAAGTTAGTGGACGCACAAAAATAAATGCAGTATGCAGTACGTTCTATGAGTGTAAACGGAGATTAGCGAGCACATAATTAAAGTTTTAATCTTCTTTAAATTGTGTGCACTTCTGTAGTGTACGATGTACATCATTAAACTAAATGTTCATAAAATTCGTTTAGACTTCATACAGTGGTATATCTATTCTTTCAACAAATCTTAAGAAAATAAATTTCACCCTCCAGTTTATAATTGCAGGGAACAGCAACAAAAAATTAGGGAACAAAATTGAATTTTTTTTAATATTGTTTAATCTTCATTAAATTGAAACCTGCAATTTTGTCCAAGAGGGATCTCGTGTTTGTAATCAGTTCCGATCTTGGCGAAGTACTTCTCCGCGAGGGAGCAGAGCTTGCCGTGATCAACTCCTCCAGCTCCAGCCAGCACCATCCTAGGGCCCTTGTAGTGGGTGCTGATGTAGTGGGTCAGGTCATTCCTAGAATACAGGTTGAATTATAACTATTATCATTTGCGGTGAACTAAGAAAAATAAATGTTTGTTAGGAGAAAATTTAAATTTTTTGGGTGAAAAGTATCAAAACTTGGCAATTGATGTCGAATATACATTCTGAGATGGAATTTAAAGAATTTGAGCCGCGGTTAACATCCGCCAATACCCGGTTTAAATTAAGCGCCGGCTTAAATCTTGAAATATTTGATACAATTTTAAGTGGAACCAACCATATTTAAACCGCGGCATAAATTTAAACCGCCGCTCAAATTCTTTAAATTCGGCCACTGAATATCTTTTTTCCTACTTTAATTTACAAAATCTCATGGAAAATACTTCCCAAAAAAACATCAGAAATCATCAACTCAGAAAACTGTCTAAAATCATAACTTGAAGGAACTGTACGCGTAATGTCAAGTGACCCTCCATACAAAGATGGCAATGACTGATTCACAACGGCACCCATGAAAGTTGAAACCGTTATCTGATCAATGTGAATTTGTGAAAGATAACGTCGTTTACCTAGGTTTACGAAGTGTTTAATTATGACAATTTCTGTATTTTTTCCAGCAGTAGACGCGCAAAAAACTCCTTTGGATAAATAATTGAAAACAATCCTCCTGACCTGTTGATGGATTTTATATTCTTTGCGGGTCCTAGAATAGTTCTACCGAGAGGGGTTCCCTGATAGGCTACAGCGTGCAGATGATCAAACACAACCTCCTGCAGGTTCATCTCAACCTAGTATAGTGAATTGATACAGATTTTAATAGAATCAATAATTATTTCAATGAAATAAATTTTAAGAAAAACGAAAACATAGAGAATCTACAGACAAAATTAAAGAAAACGTAATACCTCAGTTCTGTTAATAAAAACTTTTCTCTGAGGCTGAATTTACCAATTCTAATATGTTACTATTTGCAATTTTCAATGTATAGGATTTCTCACAAAGAATACAACATAAGAGACGACTGTACGGAATGTATTCATTTTTTCTCTTCAAATTCATAGTTCGGATGTACACTTGTTTTCCTTGATTTTTAAGATGACTTTTAATTAAGAACTTAGTCTAGCAAACCAAATTTAACCTTCACATCGTCATAACTTAAGAATTTCCGGTCGTCATTAAAGACACATCTTTTGAGAGTTACCCAGCACTTTCCCAAAATAATGAATCCATCATATCTTTCTTTAATTTTTTTACAGGGTTGGGTTATGCCTGAGACGAGGCGCCTCAAACTACAAGAAAGGTCGAGCGGTACGACCAATGTATCAATATTTTACTACACAAATAACGATTTTTAGGTGTATTTTGAAAAAAAAAAAAAAAATGACGTAGCACTGAACAGTGAACAAATCATAAGCTTACCTCCTGCATCTCCCTGAGTATGACTCCTCTCTCCCTCTCGATCTCCTGCTCCCCGAAGGTTGAGTTGGTCAGGATATCAGAGAGGATCTCTACGGCGTGCTCCAGGTCCTCGGATAAGCACTTGGCGTAGAACACGGTCTGTTCCCTAATACAGATCAAGTTAATTCTTTGCAAATGTGATTTAACAACTTTCTTCTTTTCTTTCGATAAGAAATAAAACACTTGAACAATTCAAAACATTCAAAAATATGTTATTGTTATTCTTTAATTGATTTATTCGAGGTCAAAATATACAGGCTTTAATAATACTAAATCAACTTCGGTGGTAATTATCTAATATTTTTTTCTTATAATTTAGGTCGAGTTTTCTTAAAGTATGCTTTAAAATAATTCAACACAGCTGAATTTCGAATTTTAAAATAGAAAAGTTCAGCCAATTTGGTCCAGTTGGTTGGCCATCTATAGCATTTATACAAATATATTAACAAAAATGTATATATGAGAGAAAAGCTTTTTTATATAGATATAAACAACTTTTACCTGGAGGTGTAGGCATTGAGGTGTGCACCCATATTTTCGACCTCAAGCTCAAGGTCGGTCTGGGACCTTTTGGAGGTTCCCTTGAAGGCCATGTGCTCCAAGAAGTGTGCAACACCGTTGTTAGATGCATTCTCGTACCTAGCATATAGAGACAGTTTAAATAGATCTTAACAAAAATATTTCATATCTCCAAAGGAAAAGAATGAATCTTCGAAAGATTAATTATCAATTTTTTCGTAAAGGTAATTTAAGTAAAAACTTATGACAACAACCTTCATATTTTGTCCTCACTAACAATTTGTTAAAACAAATACCCTTATGGGTCGAATATTTTTTATGACGGCCAAAATTATTTATGAAAAATATGTTGAAAAATTGCATAATTAAAACACAAACCTTGAACCAGTATCAATCCACAGACCAACAGTTGCTGTTGGTGCACAGCTATCCTCGCTCGCAACACGCATACCATTCTCAAGCACTGTCACCTAACATAACAGATTGTAATAATTAGTTAGTATTAGTTCAGTATAACACAACAGACGGTTTTAAGTTTTAGATTTACTTGACAGACAGTTAAACTTCACTAAAAAACAGATAGTTTTATCTCCACATAATGACGGACAGTTTTAACAGGAAATGATGACAGAAAGTTCATACAAATACAAACACACAGACATTTTTTTAATAACAGATGGTCTTTCTAATACAGAGGGTTTGAACACAATAGATAGTTTAGAACATAACCGATTGTATGGACATAAAAACAAAAATAGTTTAACATATGGTTTACTTATCAGAACTTGGTGAACAAAGCTTTAAATTTTGTCACTTCGCGCCTTTCGTTACAAATTTACATTTAATTTATCTAGTATTTGAATTGTAAATTTTCTCTTTGTATACATAGAAAAAAAAAGAAAAAAAAAGTTCGCGGATTTTATAAAAAAAATGTTGTGGATTTAAAACTTTAATTAAAATCAAATATTGTTGTATGCTATTTCTTGAAATTTTGATCATTCATAAACATTCCCTGGGGTCATGTGAGGTCCACACAAACTTTACGGCCGATCTGTTCAGATGTTTTGACGTTTATTCGATGCAAACAGACATACAGACAGACAAAGTATATATATAGATACCTCCGTGGAAGGAACATTGAGCAGGGTTTGCTTGAATGAGTTTGCTGCACTGGACATGGCAGGAGCTCCAATCTTGCTAAGGCCGACCCCGGCATACTTGGCTACAGTCAACAACGACATCTTGTCTGAAACAGAATTGTAAATTGGATGATAAAATATCTCTCAACATATTTAAAACATCAAAGAAAATATACAACCAAACTTTGTATTTCTGAGTTCAACTTAAATCATTTTAAGGGTCTGGGGGGGTCCAAAAATCGTATACTAGGAAATTACCCATTTTAATAGTACATAAGGCTGAATTAAACATGCCAAGGCATAATTCATTCTAAGAAATCGAACCACAAACCCCTTTCCCCTTTAAAATCGTTGTTAAACTGATGAAGGTAAAAATCTTTGATTTGATAAAAACATTATTAAAACATTACATTAAGAGGCATAAAATGACCAAGAAGGGAACGATCTATAATAATCGGTAAGTAAATAATTATCAAGTGTGAATCTTGATGTTAAACTAGAATAAACTTAGCAAACTTCATCTAAAAATTTCTCGATCAATAAAGAAATTCTATGAAAAGTATTCCTAATGAGATGGACGGAATATTTTGGCTAAATGCCCCGTAGAAGTTTTAAAATGGTGGCAGACATGTCCGATCGTGGCTTTCTTTTTATGGCTGGTCGTCTTTGCGTTTGTGCAAATTAAAAAAGGAAAACCAATTGCAACAAAGAAACAAATCATCCCATCAATCCTTCAGTTCTCATCATTCTTCCTCCCCAAAATCCTAACCCTCATCCCGGTCCCTCTTTTCAGATCATGGAATCCTATATTCTTCCATCCCTCGACTTACTCTGATTCATCACTTCTTACTCAAAACCATCCTTACTGAGTCCTGACTATCTGCTTAATCCCTCCTAACACTCATTCATCACAACTCTTATTCATTCCATCTCGGACCCAACCCTTGCATCTCTGAACTCCATCCCTCCTACATTAAATCAATTCATTCCTCCTATCTCTGATCCGTCACATCTAACTGTGACCTACACTTCCTAACTCTAAGCCATCCCCCTTAACTCTGATCTATCCCCTCTTACTCAAAACCATCCATCCTAACTCTGATCCATTCCTTCTAACCCTGGTTCATCCCTCCTAACTCTGATCCATCCTCCTCAGCTCAGATTTATACCTCGCAAACCTGATCCATACTTTCTTACTCAGAACCATCCCTCCTAACCCTGATTCATCCCTCCTAACCCTGATTCATCTCTTCTAACTCTGATCCATTCCCCGTAACTCTGATTTATCCATATTAACTCATAACAATCCCTCCTTACCCTAATTCAGAACTATCCCTCTTAACTCTGATGCATTCTTCTTAGCTCAAATACAAACCTCTCAACCCTGATCCCTCCTTCCTATCTTTATAGATCCATCCCTCTGACCCAGTACCATCCCTCCTATCTCTGAGAAGGATGGATTCCTTTCAATTCTGATCCATCCTTCTTAGCTAAGATCAATTCCTCGCAACCCTAATCCATCTTTCCTGACTCAGAAAATCATCCCTTCTAACCCTGATTCATCTCTCCTAACTCTGAACCATCCCCCCTAACCATGATCACTCCTTCTTAACTTAGATCATACCTCACAACCCTGAGGCATCCTTCCTAACTCAGATCTATTTATCCTAACTCTGATTCAAACTATCTATGATCCATCCTTTCTTATACTCTAATCAATTCCTCCTTACTCTGATCTTCTGATCCATTCATTCTAACTGTGAACCATCCATCTTAACAATGCTGTCAACCCTTCCTGCGCGACACTGTTCCATCCTTCCCTATAGTTTCAGTAGAAGTAAATATTGCCATTTACCGATAGCGCCGATATAAGGATTTATCTCTAACTGGATAATGAGATAGATTGAAAGATAGATTTTAGCGCCATACAATTTCTATTGGTTCAGAATAGACACCAAACACATCGTTGAACTCTGATTGGATCAGGCGCTAATGGACTGGCATACTAGAGGGAATTTCTAACTAAGATCCACCCCTCACCACTTTTCTGCATCCAAGGGGTGTAATCTGTCGTCTTTGTAATACGGACAGAGATCAGGGACAGAAGGGAATCGGTGTTAGGTGACTACACCTAATTCTTGTATCTTAGAAATGGACGAAAATATAGATAATAAGACAATTTTGATTTATTGAATGAAGTGAAATTTGTAAAATTTTGCATTAGTCAATTTCAAAGATACAAAAATGGTAGACCACATTTTGAAAATCTCAAGACCAGGCGTTTTTTATATAAGATGTTATAACTGGAGTACTGATGCATAATTGTGTTCATGAAAAAATGTCGCATGGATCTAAACGATATAAAAGTCGTCGATGAATTCCCATGTTTATTGGGACACCCCGCTCTCGATTCCATTTAAATGTTTGATCCCTTCATTTTAGATATCCCTGCAGGGTACGATCACCACGGAGTATCCAAGATTAAATCAATTCGGGGGTCTGTAGTCTGTAGACGGAGATAAATGCTTGATCCCAAATTTCAAAGCTCAAAAGTTCGGACCTCAGAAAAAAAGTTTAAAATTTTCCTAACCTCTAGCAAAATAAAAACGAACAAATTTCAATGAAAATTTATTGAAGTGAAATATTGAGTAAATACGAAATAATAATTGTTAAGAAAAAACTCAATAACCAGGTTACCTGACCCTAAGGGACACTTTGGGCTGGACACCCACAATAAAGAAGCTCAGTAATTTATATAACAATTTAAGGTAATGTCCCTTTTTAACAAATACATTTAAAGGAACTTACAAACAATGAAGGGGGTACAATACCATCGAACTAAATAATAAAAAGCAAATTATGTAAATATAATGCAAAAACCGGCAAAAAAACCAAATTTGTGTACAGTTTGTTCGTAAATGTTGAAACCCCTGATATGACACGAAGAGCACCTACTGTCTACCGAAAAAAAACGAATTTACAAAAGTTTACATAACTTTACGCATATTATTATTAAGTCGATAGCTATGGCAAACCCGCTTGCAACGGAATGACAAAAATTGCATAGAAATAATATTCTTCAAATGAATCACAGAGGGCGGAAATTAAATATTAGAATGCATGATATGTGGGTTTGGAAAATCAGACCAAAAGAAGGAATATATATAACAATGTTAGTTTAGCGCATGAGATTCAATATATAAACTTCTCATAGATTAATATTAATAATAATAATAATAATAGCATGCCCATATTATTAGTAATTTTCACAAGCTTGGGAAACCTTAAGTGTCAACAGTTGCATTGATACGAGAAGAGTACTTTTTACTTATCCTTCAACTAAAATAATATAAATATATTTATAATAAAACTGGTTTTGTGAATCATGACTTTTTTTCTGACCTATGGGATTCCCAAGCTATTGTGTACATTGTACAACGTACTATGTATACATGTTAACAAATGAAGTAATAACAATTAAACTATGAACAACACTTTTCTAAAAATTGATATGTTAATAAACATTTCAGGTGTATATAATGCCACGAAACACTTGAAAAAAAACAGTGAAATGAACTTAACTATTTGGATCAGTTCAATTTCAATCGTAATTAAGTCATTTATATATTTAGTTATTTATGTACAAGTTATTTCTGTAAGCCTATTAATTAGTCGTTTTATAGTTCTTGTTACGTTTCTCGTTCAGTCTAAATTTAATTTTACTTTACATTAATTGAGAACAGTTTAAATCAGAGTATGTCAATTCAAATCAGTTTAATTCGTTCATGTCAGTTATAAACAGTTCCTGTCCATTTGAATCACTTAATGTAATTTTTCAGATTTTGTCAGTTAAAATTTGTTCATGTCAATCAAAATAAGTTTGAATCAGTTTGTCAATCAAAATCAGTTTGAATCAGTTTATGTCAATCAAAATCAGTTTGAATCAGTTTATGTCAATCAAAATCAGTTTGAATCAGTTTATGTCAATCAAAATCAGTTTGAATCAGTTTATGTAAATCAAAATCAGTTTGAATCAGTTTATGTCAATATGGAAGGTATCATTGATGTTACGTGAGTTAAGTTAAAATCAATTTCAATATGGAAACATGAACTAGATCCAAAAAGTTATTTTAAACCATATCACGTAAATAAATTTCCATTTTTGAGACGTATTAAGTCTTTTTCTGTAAATAAACTGAAATTTGGAAGCTTTTTTTGCATACTTTCTGTTTGTAAGGGTTGTGACATGATAATACTTTTTCTGTTTCACTTTTTTGAAACATTATTTATGCCTTAGAAATATGATATTATATTAATAACTTCAAGTAAAATGTTTTTAATCATTCGAATAACTATTTATAATTTGACAAAATATTAAGTTTATGGCTTCTATATTAAGGTTGCTAGTTGCTTTCAAATGCCCAATTTAAGCTTCTGCATAGGTTGATTTAGATTATAGGTCACTAAAATAGATAAATAAAGCTCAAAAGTTTGCCACATCTTCAAATTAATGAAAACTAAATGTGGTCCAGTAGACAAAACAAAAACAAACAAGATGTCCTTCTTTTCTAGGTTTTAGGATGAGACACGTTATCCCTTAATTTCAGTTGTAAACAGGATCAAGCTGAATATTCAGCTAATCCCGGGGCTGCATTGTGGTAAAGGGCTATTTGATGATTTCTATATATATTCTAATATATATAAAAGGAATGTAGGTTGGTGAATCCAGGGATATCAGGGTCCCAGCTAGACCACTAGAGCCGTGTTTAGACTCCGACCTGGAAACCTAGAATTCTCCTTCATCTTCTCCTCGTCCTTCTCCGAGAGCGTGATCACGAGCTTGCTCTGCTCCAAGGGGGGAGAAGGAGAGGTTTGCTCACCTCTGTGTTTGCTCTCAGCTGCTAGTTTGAGCATGGCTTGGTGCTTTGCTTTCCACTTATCTATCCTTGATTGGTGACTGTTCTGACTTCCTTCTGGTTCAGGACTGCTAACACTTCCAGGACTCGATCCTGCAAAAATATCACCAAATAAATACTTAAACCAGAAAAAACGATATTTTTACTCTCATATTTTGATCATTTAGGTGAAATCTATGAGTTCGGGTGTGCGACACCCAAAAACAAGAGGGTTTCGATTAGGCTACACACACATATCTCTATGCTCGAAAAAGGTTTCAAGTGTACCGTTGTAAATCGGAAATTGCCCTCTTAACATGGAAGGTCACTTAAAATTACGCTTACAGTACCTTTAATGAATTTTGTGATGAAACACGCGAAATATTTTCAGAAACCAAACTCAGGTATTGGGTACAACGTAAATTACTATTCCTTTTGCCTTTTTAGAAAATTTAATTTACATTACCACATTGAAATCCATAAATACAAGAATACCTAATATTTAACTGTCCCAATTAGAGTGCAGTTTGAATTTGTATTGTGAATGTTTTATGAATCTATATAATAAGTAACAAGCCATAAATAGAATTGATCATCGTTGTCCCGTACTTTGCATGCTTCAAAAACTCGACTTTTAATAAAAATAAATTAAAAAACTATACATTTTCTCGTGAGTTACCTTGGATGCATTTATTTAACCCATAAAATTTCTACATTTAGAAGTGTACATCGAGCATAAAACAAAGAGTTTTTGCACACAAAACGTTGCAAATTAGAAACCGGTTTTCTTAATATGCTAACCCCCCCCCCCCCTCCCCCACTAAGCCTAGACTTTTCCCAAGTGATTTCAGATCTAACACACACTATTCAGTTTACAGGGCGGAGGAGATAAGAAGAAATCTTGTAAACACACTTTTACCAGAAGTTTACTCAACCCGGAGAAGGAGTTAGTTTAATCCTTACTCAGGGTCCAGTCTTTAGCTGCGCGTATAAACTTAAAAGTATATAGCTGTCCTTAATGGGACGGTAAGCCTAATTTCAAGTGACCCTCCATGCAAAGATGACAATGCTCGATTCAAAATGTAGAAATTCATAGAAATGAACACTTATCGAGTCAGCAAATCAAGGTTTCAAGGGTACCGTTGTAAATCTGACACTGCTGTCTTAACATGGAGGGTCACTTGAAATTACGGTTACAGTCCCTTCAATGGTTAAATAAGGTTTTAATTTAATAAAAATATTACCTAGCATAGACGAGAACTGTGCTTGTCTCTCATCATCATTATGGCTGGTCAGTCTAGCTAATTCTACTCCGCTGTATATCGTCGGTTCAACACCGCCAACCGCCGAATTTTGCTGAGATGACCGTCGGTGAGTGTCCATCTGACAGCGGCGGTGTAAACATTTCTGACGGAGTCGGTTTTGTCCGCCAAACTTGGTTTTATCCTTGCAATACCGACATTGACCGCAGTCATCATTCTTCAGGCATCCTGGGCAATCCCCACAGAATACTCGGTTCCGGATACCTTTCCCTCCCTTGCTCGTCTTCCGCGTAGAACCTGGAGGACTGGAGCTGGTACAATTATCAGGACTCATTTTCATCCTCTTCTCAGGGGGACTGGTCTCAGTGTAAGCTCCGTCCCTGCCAGGTTTTCGGGATATGATAGAACTAGGTTCGTATTCCTTGCAGTAGGGTAGTACCCGGAGCTGAGGAGTAGAACCAACCTCTGATTTAATATTCTCTACTGGAGATATGGAACTTGAGATCTTCCCCGTCTTTCCTACGCTTATCACCGAGCTCTGCGGAAACTCGTCCTGTCGAGATACCTTCGGTTCATCTTTAATCTCAGTCAATCCAAGAGATGGTTTCTCATCCTTGGTCTTAGTAATCTGAACCAGAGTTACAATCTCCTGTAGTCTGGTATATATGGCCGCTAACTGAACCTCAACCTTACTTTCTATATTCTTATCTGTAAGCCCATGTATGGAGAAGAGAAGAGCGTTGAGCTGCGCCACAATTTGTCCAGAGAGAAGAGGAATATTAGCGTGTGGACCAGTTCCTGGTTTACAGGCAGGTTTCCCGCTCATCTGACTCATCCCCAACTTTACAGACTCACTGATATTTGCAGGGATACGATCCGTAGAGCAGGTCAACTGCTGCTGCATCTTACCGATCAACAAGTTCTGGAGGAGGTAGGACGAGGGGATGGTGTTTAAACCATTGGAAGTTGGAAACAGGGAGTACGGGTTACTTGAGGTTGGCACCGTGCTATGGAAGCTTGTGTTAGGACTACCAAGCTGTGCTGGGCTCGGTAGAGAGTTTGATTTTGCATAGTTTGATAGATCCATGGCTACGTCAGGATCAGGTTTAGAAGACTGCTTTTTAAATGTCTCTGAGGAGTGAGTTCTGGAAGCAAGGTTGAGCAAAAGTGTCGCGATCTCGTGGTTAACTGCATTCTCATCTTTACTCCCCTCGTCACCGCTCTTGTGTTCGTCCCTGTCCTGCATGTCGGACAACATACAAACTTTTCAGTCTTCTTGGATATGTTGGGTTTCAGTCTTCACAGTTCTCCCAGATTAATCCATCTGAAAAAATAACAAATTAATAATATTATAATATTAAAATTCAAGCGTTACAAGTATATTTTATTCATGATTGCGACATGTCTATAAAACAAAACCGTCATTTAAACTTGAAAAACAATAACAACAGTCTAGAAATAAGTGTGAAAATCTGAAAAGAATTTTAGATCATAAATGATTAAATCACAGAGTGCGGAACAACAAAAATGATATGAGATTAACAAAGAAGAAGATCAAACCAGTTTAAACAATATTTAAATGCAAATAATAGAACAAAACGACAAAGACTTACACAGATTTGAAACTTTTGAAAATCATGTATTTCACCCCTTTCCTTCTTTTAAAATATTAATACTCATCAGTCTCCCCCCCCCCCTTCTTCCACTCACCCCTGGATCAAGAACGCGCGACAAACATTTTCTAAAGGAACCTCTGAATATTGTCTTAGGAAATAATAATAGAAAAAGAAAACTTCATGAAAGTTTACTGGACAACAGTTAGTGTTGTTGTTCTTCAGATCACGCGACGTGAGCTGCGAACACTTTTCTGTACAAAAACATTTTTTTGTGAACATTTCCGAAATTCCGATATATTTGTATTCCTTAAACTCTACATTGTAAACAGAATAGTGCATAGCGTACATAAGTAATAAGAATTGTAGTACATTTTATTATTTTTTATATACGTTAAAAATTAAAAAGTTTAGTCAAATATTGATGCACTTAAATCTATAGCATATAAGGTTTAAAATTTAAGTTTGGATTAGAATGCTTAATCAATTGTACTTTTTATACAGAACCGTAATAAAACTGTCCGATTTGTACAATACAATTGCATACAATATAATTGAAACAATTGACGAAAGCCCAATTTCTTAGTCGTGCTACCATAGGTACAACCATGCATAGCCCATATCTATTATCTATCTATATTGTGGTATACTAATAGAATTACCCACAAAGGCATGTGACTCGAAGACGACTGTACCTTTCCTGGTTCAAAACAGAGTTTAAGGTCGTCATTTGAGTCTCATTTTTTGTGGGTAACCATGATATAGTGAACATATTATTAGTGTATATTTTCTTAAGAACCCTAAAGGGTTTAGTTTGGAAAATGGTATTATACTTGCTCTGATAGAAAATAATTCTAGAGAATAAGATAGATTGAAAGATAGAAAGAGGGGAGGACACGACACGGGAGCAACATCGCACCGTCACCAAAGAACTATTTTCCAGCGTGACTTTATTTACAAACCAAATCACAGCTGAAAACTTTAAAATGGGATATCCTTTATCCTGATCGGTTAATTAATCTGGAGATTAATAACAAGAGGAGAATAAGCATTATTTAATCTCGAGATTAAGAAAAAGAGGAGATCAAGCATTGATTTCGATATCCACCAGTCTAAAGTTTTCAGCTCAGTTCTTTTATTTTACAGGGCGTGACGTGTTTACTTTCTTATTTGAAAATATCTGTTATCCCTAAAAAGTAAATACAGATCATTTTAATAATAATTCAACTATAGTTAATATTTAGAGTTGAAAGAAAATGGTGAGAATTTACTGTCCATATATTGAAATATACTGGTAAAAAAAGAGAATTTATTACAACCAGATTAAGGAGAATGCACGATTTAAATAAAATATAAAAAGAACCTGGTTTTGTCACATTATCTATCCTTCCCACCCCCGACTAACTGTTACAACATTTTAAAACGCCTCTGATGCTAAAAAAGTAGAAAGTAAAAGATGCCTTGATCTGAAATTTGATCTCAATCAGAGGTATACATTTACTCAGAGAATTATGTTTCCATTTAAGTATGAAAAAACACATGTTTAGACTTCTAAAGATCAGAGACACATAAAATGACAAATCGAAATTAAAGAGTTTTTTTGCAAAAATGTTTACTTTTTGTTTATTTTTTTACTACGAATTATCGCAGTTGCTTTTAAAGTGAGAAACAAATTTGGTAAATTAAATCAAAGTTTACTACAGTTTGTTACATGCTTATTATGGTTTTTATTTTCCTAAATCATGCCTTTTTTGAGGCCCTTTGTTATAAATAAATAATCTGAATTTAACAAGAATAATTCTGAAGACAAATATAACAAAATACACAGTCTTGAAAATTTTAAAATGTGGTCTGCCTTTTAATATTTGTGCTACGATGTGTAAAATACCTTCTGGTATATGTATACTTTTTTATATGCTCATTTTGGAATGCTTAGATGTGTGCAACCTTTTGTCATCTAAATAATAAAGCATTTCGCTCACATACATCTATATAAATGTCAGCTATAGCTGGCTAAACGGCTGGACCAAATATAATGACATTTTTTTAGTGAACCCATGGGTATCCTAGGGGAAACAAAGGCTAAAAAATATTTTATTTTTTAGTTTATATATATAAAAGATCCAAAACTGTATTCAGATATATCTACATTATCATCTTTAGTTATCAGCTAATATTACATTTTGTACTTTATCACAATGTTGGAATAAATCACGACGAAAAATAATTCTTTGATTATCCGCTCTCGCTTAACATCGACCAGACCTGTCCAGCGTGATATTGGGTAGATCCACCAGAACTTACAGCACTTAAAAAACCCGCCATTGACGTAATATTTCAGGCATAAAAAACCAGACCTGAGAGTCCTATACACCTAAACCAGAACACCCAGGCACTAAAGACGTAAAAGATGTTTTAGAAATCCACGTAACGTCGCTCCGTAGAAACCGGAAAAACTAGAAAATATTTTTCCAAAGTTCAAAATCATGAAAAAAGTTAGGATTTTATGATTTTTATTAATCCCCTTTTTCTTTCTTTTGTTCAGTTTACTTTCTGTTTTGTATTTGATTTTCTAACTTTTTTTATGTTCTTAAGTCCCCTTTTTTTCTATGGTCTAACCCCCCTTTTTTCTATGTTTTACCTCCCCTTTTTTTCTATGTTCTAATTCCCCTTTTATTCTATGTTTTACCGCCCCTTTTTTTCCATGTTCTAATTCCCCTTTTATTCTATGTTTTACCTCCCCTTTTTTTCAATGTTCTAATTCCCCTTTTATTCTATGTTTTACCTCCCCTTTTTTCTATGTTCTAATTCCCCTTTTTTTCTATGTTTTACCTCGACCCCTTTTTTCTATGTTCTAATTCCCCTTTTTTCTATGTTTTACCTCCCCTTATTTCTATGTTCTAACTTCTAACTTCCCTTTTTTTATGTTCTAACTTCTAACTTCCCTTTTTTCTATGTTCAACCCTGTTTTTCTGTCCAAAGTAGTAGCGCTGGATTAAAGAACTATACAAGTTTTCCTGCGGCAAACTGAAGGTAGAAACATCAATTCTACAATTACGGTTCTNCCACACAAACACACTTCTAATCCTTTACTTTTAGTCTAATTTGGTATTTCTCGCTGTTTTATCTTAATCCTATTCTTTTCTTTATTCAGTTATTTTTCAATTTGTTCTCGCAAGACATCTAATCTTCGAAAACCTTGACTTTAATCCTTAGAACTTAACCAAAAGTCTACATCAAGTTGCAAAGATGAAATTATTAGAAAATTGGAGTTTGAGGCAAGCGTTTAGTTCCTTTGAATTGAAAATTTACTCACAAGATATCATTAGGCCGTTTCAGTTGAGAAAAAAAAACTGAGTTAAAAGATATTTTAAGTTTAGTTAGTTGAAGGACTCCCGGAGAAAAGGTTTTAATTATCCGGATTGGTATAATATTCTCCTTCTAGGTTGAGTGAGAGAGAGCGAAAGAGAGAGAGAGAAGAGAGGAGGTTAGGCCCCCGCTATGGCTTTCCCGTGATGCGGTCTTATAGCGTTCCATTCGATGAAGCGGGTTTACAGGGCCGTAATCAGGATACTTTATTCCATACTGGTGTCCAGTTACAAGAACAATCTTACAAACACTAAATAAATTCATTTTAATTTGTGAAAAAAAAAATTTTTATAATCAATAGGAAATTAAGATTTTCTTTTAAATCTTACTCTGGACTCTAGGAGATATGATGATAATAATAATTATAATAATTGTTGAAATGTTATGTTTTTATGTGTTGGGTTGCCCCTGAATTGTTAGACCCTGGAATCCATTGGTAGCGTAGTGGCCAAGTATCTGGAGTCATTTAACCTAACTCTCTAGTCCCAAACCCGGAGCAGAGTAATCTTCATTCCATCCATCCACGGAGACCTTACATTTTACACTTCCATTCATTCCATCCATCCACGGAGAACTGACATTATACAGTACCATTCATTCCATCCATCCACGGAGAACTTACATTTTACAGTTCCATTCATTCTATTCATCCACGGAGAACTGAAATTTTACTTCATTCCATCAATCCACGGAAAACTTACATCATACAGTACCATTCATTCCATCCATCCACGGAGACCTTACATTTTACAGTTCTATTCATTCCATTCATCCACGGAGAACTTACATTGTACACTTCCATACATTTGATTCATCCACGGAGAACTGAAATTTTACAATTGCATTCATTCCATCCATCCACGGAGAACTTACATTGTACACTTCCATTCATTCCATTCATCCACGGAGAACTTAAATTTACACTTCCATTCATTCAACCCATCCCGTTTTTTAACCCATTCCATCCATCTTGTTTATTTTCACCTTAAAATTAAAAATTTGTTATATTTATGGAGAATAAATATTAAACTTACATTTTAAAAATTAATGAAAACATCATAATTCCTATTTAAATGCAATTTTAATTGAACTCCATGAGTTTCGGATCCTTAGCTTACAATCATTTAAATTCTTTCCTTTCCTTTCCCCTTCATTTCTCTCAACAACCTTTCCTATCCTCCTTCCTGTCTTTTTCTTACGCTTTCTTTACTTTCCTCACTTTCATTTTCTACCTTTCCCTTTCTTGCTTCCCTTCACCTTCTATTTACTTTTTAAGCTTTTCAATTTGTCACTTTTGCTTTCTTTTCTTTACATTTCTTTCCTTTTATCTTCCATTTTAACC